AATTACTTGACAATCTGTGTGCTGCAAAGACACCCACTCGAAACAAAGCTGACACACACATCAAATGCTTTGATCCACACACAGGTGCTTCTGTAGGAAGACGAGCGCGGGACAATTATCCCTGAAAGGCAATTACACCTGAACAGCCCTCGTGTGCACGTAGTCTAAGCCACGGCTAACGTGGAGTGGCGAATCAAAAGAAATCAGAGGCACGGCATTTGCATATGAAATGGTTGAGTCACAAAGAGCTCCCGTAATGACAGAACGCTGCATGTGACGCAGTGGTAGAGGCCTTTTCAGGATCTGCGCTGCTCTGACAGTGATTCACTGCAGGGCGCTGAGTTTGAACTTCACCTGTGATCCATTTCACCTTTAAATAAGTGAAATATGGGTTAGGACTGTTCTCGTTGTTCTTATCTTTTCATTATTTTAAAAGAGACATACAATTACATCTTACACACACACTGTTGTTAGTACTACGCAGCCTCTGAAAACCATTTTAATGTCTTCTGTGTCTCTGGTGGGAGCTTTCTACAGCAAGTAACCATGCTGATGTCATGTTTACCCAGGCCTCTAATAGAGCATTCAGCATTTCCCAGTAAATCCTCTTCGTCTACTTCTTTATCCGCATTTCAAAGACTGCTAGAACTTTCCTCACATGTGTAAACATTGTTCAATAAAACAGTAATCAGATGGGGCTATTCCTTATATTAGCACTGAAACACATCCACTGTATTACACTAATCAACATCAGGCAGGGAAATTATGCATGACAGAAACCAATATGCTGTCTGTGGATAATTTATCAGTGGTCTGAACTAATGCAAACCATACTCTTTTGTATTGTTGAGTCCATTACATAACTGGTTTCATATGGTGTTCACATGTCACCACGCTCTTCTTTTAATAGGGATGGTACTTTCTGAGACAGCTCAGATAGACTTTAAAGTGGCTTTAAAAGGCTACAGGCACATACATAAATGCCAATACATGAAACAAGGTGGCGCAACCTGACAACATCAGTTACGGATCTCTCATTAGAGCTGGGGGTCATAATATCCTGCTGACAGACACTGTATTGTAAGATGTCTCGCTGTGGTAACTTTAGTCATCTGGACTGATACGATCTCTTCCTGCCTTGGGGTGGTTTTATGGTTGTCACAGTTCTTATCTGCATATCTTAATCCATCTTAATACTAACAAGTTGGTCCATTCATTTGAAACTAAGTGGGTTTTGTTGAACTGAATGAACCAGTGAATGAATTTTTTTTAAAAATGTGGCAAAGCATGGTCACTGTGCTGGTATAAAATAGTGTATAATATGTGTAGGAGCTACAATAGTGTGCAAAAGTCTTTGGCTGCCCCTCATTTCAGACTTTGATCATTTCCAAAGGAAGGATTTGTGCTTGTTTGTTAAGCCATTTAACACTGATCTATGAATCTTTCAAGTATAAAAAGGCACTTAACTCAAGGGGCAGTTATTGTTTTAAATGTGCTATATAAATAAATTTGACTTTCATGAGTGTTTGCATATTTCAATAAATCATTTCACCTATTTCTAATTTTTTGCACAGTACTGCACATCACAATGTATTTTTTTCATGAATTGTGTCAAAACCATGTAGCTCCATAAAAAAGTGATGTAATTCAACTGAATTCATTGAATTAAGATGGTTAGTTTATTACAAACTACCTCCTACAAAATGATCATGCGGTTAAATTAGGATTTGGAACAATTTGATTAGAAAGCAGAAGTATGAATTTGGAGAAGTCGTGTTATGTCTATATAAACGTATGTGTACCTGTATACAGTGAACATCTTATCCAGCAGGTGTCAGTGTTGTCTAACACACAAATTCAAAGCACCAGAACCTCAGTGGAGAGACCAGGCTTGATGAGTATATTTTCCTCCCCATGGGCTTGTTTTTGTCTATTTATATGGCATAGTCAAAAATGAAAGAATGTGGCAGTGTTGTTTTGGTCAGGGGCATCATCACACATGTTATGATTTGTCTTTAATTTTTGTGGTTCTTTTTTGTCTTTTTTTGTGTCTTTTTTTCTTTTTCTTTTTTTTAATGAAAACAATATTTTACCACTACAAAGACATCTGCTTGTGCGTTGTTGTACACTGTGAAGTGGCATTAAACCACATCCATTAAAACATGAAACTTTTGCTGCTGCGAAAGAACCCATTTTGCATAAATAAATGCTTGAGACTTTGTGTGATGGCATCTGCTCAGGCCGCAGTGTCGATAAATGTGAAACACATTTCAACACTTTCCGAGTCAGAAAGTTTCAAAACTGGCACCGTTAGGAAATTATGTAATAATGCTAATTATTCTATATATTTCGCTCAGATTCTGAGCACACTAAGGCATAACTAAAAGCAAAAACACAAGTGCATATAAAAATATCGTTACGATATAAGAGAGATCAGGTTTTGTCAGTAACTCCCATACAGACCTGATGCCCATCATTTTCATGAATCACACAGGAACAACCTTTGTGTGAAAGAGTCCACTCATATGTTATGTTACAAAGCAGTATACACGTAACTATAAATAATATTAAACATTTCACTATTTCACTTAGTCTGAACGCCTCTCTTAACTCTCTTGTTCCCCAAGTTGTTTTTCTCGTTTGGTGCCCTGTGGCACTTTACTGTGGTTTCTCTAGAGAGGCATAAATTTGGCTCTTCAAGGCTCTCTGAGAATGAAATACCACTGTCTGCCTTTGCATGTTCAGACTGGGGGCTTCAGGCTGATCGTGGTGGCTCTAGCTTTCTCCAGTAGTGTGAGACAGCCTGGTGTCATGAGATTGAACCAAAAGAAGCATAAGATGTGTTTGATTCTACCACACCAGCTGCTCCAGCACTGTCATCTCAACCTTCTTTCGAAAAAATTTGAAAAAAATAAAAGTACAGATACCTTTGCCATGATTGATGGCAGCATTTCACGCAACTTAAAAAGTAAGCAGTCTTCAGTGTAAACAGATTATAAAGAGCCGTTTCCTGTTTGATAGATGATAAAGGCATTCCACTGCCTCATACATCAGCAGGTTGTGTGTATATCTTATCGCAGTGGTCATGCTTTTTTGGAAGTGATGTCAGGTGGAGAAATTTTGTCAAAGACAGAACTATGTTCTCTCTGAGAGGCGTGTGCTGGAAGCAGCTGATTGTTTACTTTGGAGCTCCTCAAAATCACTACTAGAGGGTTGGTGTTTCAGTGTTACCGCATAAAATCATCAAAAAAAAATCATCATTCCCTTAGTATTATGAAAATCCTCGCATTTTTTAAAAATAATTTTCCTTTGCATAGCTTGAACATAGCCGTTGTCTTACCAGTTTAGACCAGTTCCACCCCTAACTTCTGTGGGCCATGTTAGCTGATTTTGACGTTACACAACTGGGTTATTCTGATCATTCTAACGATTAACCTTTGTTGGAAACAAAGTGTTCTTAATACTAGTTTTCAGATATGTCCCATATGGAAAAGATATATATAAATCTTATAAAGTTTGTATCTGTCTTTTGTGAAACTTGTATGAAAAACATACAAGAGTGAAAACAGATATCAGATCCCTTGAAAAATTATATAAATCAAACTTTTTGGATATTTTTTGGATAATTTACTAAAACAATATATGAAAGTAATGAGAAAGTGGCCACTTTCATGAGTAAATCATATAAGCCTTATATGATTCACTATATGAAGTAGGCCACATCTTATGCAAGTCTTTTATAAGTTTTTACTATTTCTTTTCTGAGGTAGGTCAAATAATTTAGATTCCATTCAAAATTGGTTTGTTTTACTCTGTTCACTGGATTTAACTACACATCCTTTGCCTTAAGGGATAAGCTAACATTTTGTCAATTGTGCCCTGTGAAGAGAGGATAAATGTCACACTCATCTGTATGCTTATTGTGACAGTACAGATACTTCATTGATTTTAATTGATAAT